CTGAGAGCCCGGAAGGACGACGATGTGGCCTGCCCGCCGAGGGTGCCCTGGGGCCGCGCTCGCCGCCGAAGTTCCTCCTCCTCCTCGCATTCCTCGGGCCCGGGCGTGGGCGGGGCCGCCTCCAAAGACGGCCTGACCCGGAGCGCGCAGGGGTGCCTGTCCTCGGGGGGATCCCCCCTGCACCCTGCCAGCCCCTCTGCCGAAGAAATGGCTTCTCCAGAGGAGGAAGCCTGCAGCCTTAAGGTAGGTGGGCGCCGCGCCTCGCTGGCGACCCGGGGTGCCCCTTCCACGTGGCCTGAGGGGTCCGCCCGGGGATTTTGGTGGCCATGCGAGAGAACAGAAAATCGGGACCTTTTTAGCTCTCTGGGCTTCCCGGAGGTCTACTTGGGGCCAGCCCAGAGCACCCAAGCGGTGACCTGTACTTCTGCTGTTTTCCAGCTTGGGGGCACTTTGGAACAATCTGGAATGTTTTAAGGCCATCGCGTCTGGTCCCAACCTGATTTAATAGGGCTGGGGTGTGCTCGCGGCCTCCCAGCTGTTAGCGGCCTCTGGCCTTTGCAGGTGTGGAGGTGGGTGAATCATTCCCGCAGAAGGTGGACAGAAGGTGGATGGTCAGCTCCGGGGACACAGTTCTTCTGGTCGTAGTGGGAGGACACGTGCCCTTGTTCTTCGGCCCATTCTGACTCAGAATTTGCTTTTTGGTGTGGGTTCTAGCCCGTTGGGTTTTGTATGGGGGCTGGGGAGAAGTGTTGGGGTGGAGGTTAAACTAATTCAGTGCCCTCGTGGGGCCGGGGGGTTCTCAACACTCGGGCAGGCCCAGAATGCTTCGAGAGCAGGTGTGCCATGGCCACCTCCTTTTATGCTGACTTTCGCTTCAAAGAGTTGTTTCCTTTCCTTTCTGGGGAGGGAAAGTCAACACAGGCCTAGTTTGCACCAGGCCTTTTCTGGCTTCTTGGGAGTGTCCAGTGAACAAAGATCCCCGCGCTCTGCGTTTGCATCAGGCTGGGGGCCTGTTCTAAAGTGGAGTGTGTGTGTGTGTGTGTGTGTGTGTGTGTGTGTGTGTGTGTGTGAGATGAGTTGTCCCTAGGGAAAGTTATTTTAGCAAAAGCAGTAAAAACAGGCCCTCCAGAAAGCAGGTTTGTCTTTAAGGCTTGGCTCCGCGGCTTCTCGTGTGGACAGAGCTGAGGCGGTCTCGGCTCTTCGTCCTGGGAACCTTAACGAAGTGCCTCGTTCTTTTCCCATACGGACTTACAGAATTTCTGTATAGAAATGTGGGCTGTTTTCTTTTGGATTTTTTTTCTATTGGAAAGGGCTATCTTTGGCTGCATAAGTGAGGTAAATGTGGGACTTTGTTTCTATACTTTGGTCTTGTGCATCTGGGCAGGCCATTAAGTGGTGTCTGTCGGTTGAACCCAACCTACATGGTTATTACAGGTAGAAGCAGGAGCGGCGGGAAACTTAAATCTGCCCAGCCTGGGGGTGTGCTGGGACTTCTGGGAGGCAGTTTACGGCTTGAGGTGTCCCTGGAATGCTGGCAGGGACCCACCTCGGGCCAGGTGAGCCTAGAGAGAGAGTTTGTTCCTCCAAGTCACCTGTAGGGAGTCGTCTGAACCCCTCTGGCACAGGTTTGGGCTCCCCAGCACTAGGGGGTCCCCGTGTGTGAACATTCTGCCGGCTCTCCGGCCCGGAGATGACTTCTGGAAGGGCCGGGAAACGCCCCAGGCAGCCTCATGGTGCTCTGGCCCGGCAAAGCCTGGAGCGGGGGCTGCGGAGGCGGCCAGTGCTGTGAGGCTCTAGCCGGCTGGGCGCTGGTCTCAGCCCGAGCGTTGGCACTGCAGTGGGCAGGCGGGCTTGCGCCTAGATCACTCGCGTCGGGCGAGGACTGTTGCGGTGGTGGCCAGCGTCCGCCGCGCAGCACTCGGCCTGCTGGTTCGAAGGCGGCAAATCCTGCTCTCCCTGGGGTGGGGGTGGGGAACCGCCACTGAAGCGCATGGCCTAAAGCTAAGGACAGCGCCTCGGAGTTGCCTGTGCTGCCACTGTCAGTGCGGGGCGACCTGTACGTCCGGTGACAGAGTGCCCCTCCCTCAGCCGCACTTTCCCCTTGCTCTGCAGCCCTGTGCAGGCCGGTCCGGGAAGCCCCAGGCCCCGCGGCCAGCAGCCGCTCACCCTCACCGGGTGTGTCCTCCTGGGCCCTCCCAGCCCTCGTGCCCTTCTGCGCCTGCTCGAGAACGCGGCGACCCCCACACCTCCCAGCCTGGCAGCTTGGGCTGCAGCTTCCTCCGCTGGGGGCTGTGTCCTCACTTGGTGGGAGGCGCCAGAAGGCCCCACCAGACCACCGCCTCAGCCTCGGCGGCTGCCGTAGCCGTGCGCGACCCGCGGTGGCCCTGCTAGCCGGCCTTTGGGAGCCCTGGGTTCCCGTGGGCAGGGCGGCGCCCGCCGCCTGGAGCTCCAGCCCGCTGAGGCGTTCCCACCTCCTGACCTCCGTCTACCCCAGGCGGCGGGCGCGCCTCTCCGCTGGGTCAGGCGGTCTGTCCCTCACTCCTGGCCGCTGGGCCGCGCGTCTGCGTGACCGTGGCTGGCCGAGCGGGGCTGCGGGTGTGACTGCTCAGCCTGCTGTGTTCCGTGCTTGCGTCCTGGGTTTCCAGGACTGTGGGGTCTGAGGCTGGCCGTGGCCCTTGGCGTCTTGCGGGGTTGCTCGCTATGTAAAAGAGGGTGCGGTGGTCGCTCCTGGAGAGACCGCGGGCAGCGCGGCCTCTCTGCCGGGTGGGAGAATGCTGGTTCAAGGCCAAGTGCAGCCTGCAAGGTGCTTACAGTAGTGAAAAACGGGCACTCTTGTTATAAATAGATGCCTCAGCCTCAGGCCTCTACCTTGAACTCAAGATTTGAGTGACTCCTCCCTTTCCCGCTTTCCTTTTTAAAATTTAGTCATTTGTGTAGAAGAACTGGGGTGCAGGGGTGAGAGGATTCACGAGAGACTGGGTGGGGAGCAGAGCATGCAGTTGTGGGCTGCAGGGAGATAGGAGAGGTCTGCCACGCCATGTGGGTCACTCCCTGGCCGGGGATTGAACTCAGGCCTTCGTGGTGGAAACCCTGTGACGTAGCCCCTAGGCCACTAGGGAGGTGTCCCCCATTCTCCACTTTCTACCGCAGTCCCCACTGTTGAGGCCTGGCGGTGTTTTTCTCCCTGGCACTTGGCCTTCTCTAGCACGGCTTCTTGAGTTTCCTCCCCCACCCCAGCGGGCACAGCTGGTGCGCCCTCACGCGCAAACCCAGACGTGCCTGCTGCCACACAGCAGGGCTAGCAAGTGCCTGCTGAAGGGGTGAAGCGAGAAGCGCTGTTTGCTTGGACAGCTGGGATCTGTCAGTAGTTGGCTGCAGAAAGGAGTTGGGGGCCCTTCGAGAGGCCAGTGTGTCTGTCTCCAGCCCCACAGGGGAGTTTGGGACCCTACAGGGGGAGCGGCAGAGCTGAGACGGCACAGGCGTGCAGGCCTTGGCTGGCGGGGTGGAGCTGGGGAGAGAAGTGCCCGGGGAAGCTGCAGCTGCGTCCTGCAGGGCAGCCCAGGGAGATGTCACCTGTGTGCTTTTAAAATTTCGTAAATTTATTTTCCTTGTTGCTAATTTTGGAGAGTATTTGATTCCTCCCCACAGGGTTGGGCCCCGTGGCTCTCCCATCAGCAGGGCACCTGCGACCCGTCCCCCCTCACCCCCCCCCGCCCGCTGTGTGCGCGGATCTGTGGCCCACTTGCTAGCTAGTTTTGTTCAAGGGTAATTTTAAAACTTTCTAGATTCTCTTAAATATGGAAAGGTAAGCAGTGTAGACTTTTGAGTCAAATGTCATTAGAAATTCAGTAAGTCAGAAAATGCAGAGATTCAAAACAAAAGCAGCAGCCTCGTTTCCTGGTCACCTGCCAGGTAACAGCTGCCAATTATTTAAGGACTTACAGGGAGAAAACAGGGCTTTGCTAATATCTACATATGCCAAAGGTTTAATGATTTTTTTTTTTTTTTGGTTTACTTCCCTGGTTTAGTGATTTTTTTAAAAAAATGTGTGTGCTATGTGCTTTTGGAGAAAAGCAAAATTGGAACAGTGGAAGAACCATACAAATTAGGCGTTTGAGCCTGTTTTCCTCCTTACTCCGAGACAGTCCGTGAGCAGCGGTTTGGCCCGACCCTTGTTGCAAAGACACTCCTGTCGGGCATGTTTTCGTTTCTGATCGCTAGAAACCATTAGCTGTCATCAAGTCTGTTAATGTGGATACTACAGATGAATAAATGGGTTTCGTTTATGTTTCGCCACCACCACTCCGTGCCCCTTCTCCCTGTCTCCCTCCCCGTCCCTCGTGGTGTTTATTAATGTCGGCTAGTTTGTAAGTATTTAGTTCGGCAAGTCGTCTGTGATGTAAATGTCCAGTATTTTTGTCTTTCCGACATGAAACACTACACGCAGTTCCCTTAGACTCCCTCCATCTCGCTGTAAATGGCTGTATCATCTTTCCAGTGTAAAAGTTCCATCTTATTTTTTTCCTTTCTCCTCCTGTCTGTCTGAAATGTGGGGTAGCCCGCGCTCCTTGCTCTTTCCTCTGCATGCATAGCTGGGCGATAAGGGACCTCACTTTTTCTGGAAGCTGTCTCGGAGCTGGTCTGTCCACTTCATTCAGCCATCCCTCCGCCAGACATCTTTTGGGGTAAACTCTGTTTTTCCTCAGTATAGGGAAATGATTAACCAGCGTGGAGGCTGGGCAGCGGTGAAGCCAGGTCATAGTCGGGGAGGTTTGGGACTTTGGGGCAAGATTTACTGGCGCTCTTAGACCCTGCTAGATCAGACTGGATCTGGCTTGACAGTGGATTAACACTCTTGCTTTTTCATGGTGGACTCTGGAATGAGTGGGTGTGGAGGAGAAAAGAAAGGGGCCGGGACTCCCCCTGCATCTTGGAGGAGATACAGGGCCGGGGCGTCATGGGCATCTCGGTTGGTCTGGTGTGGTCTCTGGAGATGAGACATCTTTACCAAGGGTGATTTGGGGGAAGGAGAGGTCCCTGCAGAGAGCTCCGGGGAGGCTTGGACCCCTGCAGTCATGCCTCAGCACTCAGGGCGCAGGGAGAGTCCTCCCTGAGCCCAGCGGCTGGGGCTGGGGACTCTCCAGCGTGAAAACCCTGAGCTTCTCTGTCTGAGTGTCCTGAATGTGCAGCAGCGCTGGCCCTCAAGGGGAGGGAGTCTGGTGTCTTAGCTGCTCATCCGTCACTGCAGTGCCCCACTGTGGGGGCGCTGGCAGGACTGAGACTCCGCAGCAGTGCAGCCTGGGCCGGGGGGGGGGGGCAGAGAGAGAATCGCCATCTTAACCCCCGTCACTTTCCCTTCCGTGGTGGGGTCACCCTGATCGCTCATTCCATGTATGAAATCACCCTTGGCATCTCGCCCTTAGATCCTTTGAAAAGTTCTGTGTTTTTTTTTTTTTTCAGGTTAATTCCAAAGACAGTTCTCGAAACTCCATGAACTCTGAATTTGCGGCTGAAGCTGAGGGTCAGAATGATACTACTGAAGAGTCGAGCAAGGCCCAGAAAAAGAAGAGGGATAGACTTCGAGACCAAGGCTCTACGATGATCTACCTGAAGGCCATCCAGGGCATCTTGGGCAAGTCCATGCCGGCCAGGAAGGGAGAGGCTGCCTCTCAGGCAAAACCGAGCGCGGGAGTGCGCCCTGGCAGAACGGAAGGGCCTTCCAGGCGTGTGGCTGCTCCTCAGAGGGAGCAGGAGCAGGAGAAGGAGCGGGAGAAGGAGCGGGAGCGGGAGAGGAAGGAGCAGCAGGAGCAGGAGCAGGAGCAAGGGACGGCTTCGGAGGTGGGAGCCTCGGAGGCGCCTGTGGGCGAGAAGAGCTGCTTCGGGGACAGGAGAGTGGTGATCGACCCACAGGGGGCGCCCAGTGAGGAGCCTCTGGGTGACCGGAGGACGGTCATTGACAAGTGCTCGCCCCCCCTGGAGTTTGTGGATGACCCTGCCCCTCTTGCAGAAAGCCGAAAGGTGAGTGGGCCTCACCCCCTCTGGGGTTTTCAGTTCTCTGGCTAAGCGTGTCTGGTCCCCCGCCTGGCCCCACGTCCCGTATCTGACCAGCATCTCCCAGACCAGGCCCCCCCGAGGAGAGTCGGTGCTTCTCTGACGAGCTTGCGGCTCCCCGACACGGGACACTAAGGGCCGTGCTTGTGCTCCGGGTTCGCGTTCCAGGGCATGGTTTGCCGCTCTGACAGGTCACGGTGACTGTCCCAGCACAGCTTCCATCCTGAGAGATGGCTGCCGGGCAGGCCACTCGCACCGACCCCCAGCCGGGAGGAGGGAAGATGGACGCGCTCTCGCCCCCTCTCGGCTCATTCGGAGGCGGCTTTCTTCGCCTTCCCTGCTCACTTTGTCCGCGTGTCGTTACCCGACCCACGGGTGTCTTTCACATGTCTTCGGTGTCGCTAGAGATACTTAGGGGTCATACTTAGAGATACATCAACCTCTTGATGAGAACCCGAGAGTCTGACTCGGTGGGTGGGGGGGGCGGGGTCCTGGGGTGGGTGTCTTTAAACAAGCGACCCTGAGGCTCGGGTGGGCTCGGGTGGGCGTGGGGAAGCAGCAGACACCTGCCCTTCACCTGCCCTTCATCTGGCTGGAGTTGACCTTGCATTGCTCCTGCTTCAGCTTTGTGTTATGGAGGCTTAAGACATTTATGAAATGGACCCGCACGCCTATCCGTTAGTATTTTGGGTCTGTGTCTGAGAGACCTTCAGAAGCCAGGACATCTGCTTGCGAGAGACCCGGCCACTGTCCTGTCTCAGAGTGTCCCGCAGCTGAGACTTTGCTGGCGGGTGTGGGGTGCTCCGAATCTGTGTGCTGCTGTCCCGGGACGCTTTACCCCGCGTTCCGACCGCATGCAGGCGTTTGTTGTCTCAGAAGGTGCGTTTTCGGGACCGTCACTGTGGCGCTGCCGATGTGTTATTTAGTGTGGAGCCTGGGTCTGTGTGGCCTGCTCCTGCCCCCTGGCCATTGCTGCAAGTTTCTCCAGCATTTGCCAGTGGACTTTATGGATAAACACTTTGGTTTTTCGAAACCACCGCAGTGCTCTTCATAGGCTTGTTTGAAATGAGCGCCAGGCCCTCCGGAGGCGCAGCGGGTCAGGGCGCAGCACTGCCAGTGCGCGCAGCTGCTTCAGTGCGCGCTCCATGCCCGCCCCGAAGCTGACCCGCACGGCCCGCAGACCTCTCCGGTCTCCCCGCTGCTCCCCAAACAGAGGGTGCTTTGTTGGTCGGCCTGTTCTGCTCCCCGCTCTGTCTCTGGTGACCCTCTCACCGTCCCTGCACCGCTGGCCTGCACCCCAGTTCTGTATGCATCAATAAAATCTTTAAAAAAAACTTTTAAAAAATAATATGATAAAGTGAGCTCCAACACTTAAAACTCATCCGCAGGGGACTAGTGATTCAGTTCGTTGCATTTCTTTGCCTCCCCCCATGGTTGAGGGCTGTTTAGCCTTTAGCATTGTCTGTCTTCCTCCGACAGGAGAGGACACCACTCTGAGGGTAGTTTAGAAAATAACTTAAAATATTCTATAGAATTTTCAAACAAATTCCAAGTCAGCAGTGGCGGAAGGACCCCAGGAGCCCGCCACCGTGACCGAGGCTCACTTTCCAGGTGTGCTGTGACTGGCCTCATCCTGCACTGGGGATTAGCTACCGGGGGAGGGGGGGCAGGAAGCCTGGAGCTGGAGAGTGCAGAACAGGAAGTTCAGAGTTACCAGTGCTATGTCCTTTTGGATACGTTTCCTTAGAAATGTCCAAGTTTATGGGGTTCTACAGGCCCTTGTCAATTGACAAAAATATCTTTAGGGACCTTATTTGGATTCTACATTCTTCTTGATTCTACTGACCACTGGATTTGTGTAAATGTTGTGTTGGGGACTCTGACATCAGAGAAAATTCTCTAGGGATTCAATACATTAATCTTTGCAATATGATTAAAATATCCACACCCCAGAAAATAAAGGTTCCAAATGAAGAGATTCCAGATCCTTTGAATAAATGAGGCAAATCAAAGGAAAAAGTGAAAAAAAAAAAATGTCCAAGTTTAGGCCCTCCCTGGTGGCGCAGCGGGTTAAAGCGCAGCACTGAGAAGCTAAAGCCACTTCCGCATGAGTTCGATCCCCGCCTGCCCTGGAGGTGACCACAGGGCGCGGCAGACCTCTCCTGACCCGCCCGCTGCTCCCCTCAGCAGTGTGCTTCTGTTCTGCTCCCCACTGTCTCTGGGGAATCCTCTCACCCTCCGCATCTCTGCCCTGTACCCCAGTCTGTATGAATAAATAAATCTTTAAAAAAAAAAAAAAAGAAATGTCCAAGTTTAGTCTGGACAGTAGAATGCAGAATTTTGGTTCACTTTAAGGAGGTAATCAGTTTACCCATACTGCTTTCGTAGCGGGCTTTTGAAAGCCTGTCATGTGCAGCGTAAGCCTTACGCCAAGCCTGCAGCAGCCTCTCCAGCCGCTGGTGCTGCGCCAGCAGAGGAAGCAGGGGCTGCTCGTCTTTCTTCCTGAAGTTGAGTCTGTGCTTCCGAGTTCTCAAAGCTGAGCTGCTCAGAGTGACGTGCAGAATGAAGTTCTGAATTCTTGGCCTCGCTGGGGCCTGCCGACTCGCAGCGTCCGCGTGTCCGAGCGCCCGCAGTGTCTGGGTGGCAGGCCCTCGTTACTCTGTACTTCAGGAAGGTCCCCAGTTGCCTCTGATGTGCGCTGAGGTCAGGAGCCGCTCGCCCCTTGGCTACACACTCTCGTGCCACCAACATTCGCGAGCATGCGCTGCCTGGCGTGGCGTTCGGGGACATCGGCGAAGAAAATAAAATTCCCTGACCTCCTGGAATTCAAGTTCTAGCAGGGCTGAGTTACTGTTGCTCGGTTACCGCGTGACCTCAGTAGCGCTTTATTCCGCGAGTCAGGGATTCAGAGAGGCAGAGACTGGCCAGCTCTTGCTTGGAGGGTTCTTATGGGGACCCATCTAGGCACTGGGGGGCTGCGGTCTGACAAGGCTGCTCGACTGCGGTGCTCAGGCCCACACCTTCCCCTCCGCTGCACGGGCCTTGGGGTGTCTGGCTTCTCCCGGGGAGCAGGCTGCAAGCCAGTGTCCCCTGCTCCTCCCTCGGTTACAGTGAGCTCCTAGCTGGCTTGGTGGGGGTGGCGGCCACGGTCCCGCCTCTGGACGGCAGGCCAGGGCCAAGCCTTTGTGGACACACTGTTGACTGCATTTTGAGTGCCTTGGGGACAGGGCGGCAGAGGTGAGAGCTTGGCCTCTGCTGGTCCAACGCCCACAGTGTGCTCGAGATGCTCCTGCCCCTCTGAACGAGGGGAGCGTGGGGCAGGCACCCCTGCAGGGCGTCAGGGCCCCCAGTGACAAGCTTATTCCTGGACCTGTGTAGCGGGCCCCTGGCCCACTTTGTGGGGGCTCAGAGGAAGCCCGGGGTAAGGTGAGGTGATGTCCAAGCTGTGCTGTGCTGTGCCCGCCTCCGGGACCTGACCGCCCTTGTCTCCCCGCAGGCTGAGGGCAGGGAGGTGGTGATGGAGCGCTCCTCCTCCGGCAGTGACTGGTCCGACGTGGACGAGCTCGCCACAGTCCGCTTCTCCCAGGAGGAGCCCGTCTCGCTGAAAGTCTCCACAGTTCCGGAGCCTTCTGCCTTCGCCACTGACTACGTCATGTACCCGGCCCATCTGTACAGCAGCCCGTGGTGCGACTACCCCAGCTACTGGGCCAGCGGCGCCAAGGCCTCCGGCTACCCCGGCGGGGGCGGGGGCAGCAAGGACACGCCGCAGGCTGGCAGGGGCAGCCGGGGCCCCCGGAGCGACTGCTCCCCCAGCTCCGCCGCGAGCTCCCGGAGCACCGCCAGAGACCCGGAGGGGGCGGAGGAAGGCCGCTCCCAGAACTCGCGGGCCTTTCGCTTCTCCAGAAGGTCGGAAGAGGTCAAGGAAAAGAGAACATTCCGGGAGGAGCCCGCCCCGCGTCCCTGTGGCGGGTATGCCTCCAGCGCCCGGCTGAGGGGCCGCCGGGAGCCAGGCCCGGAGGAGGGGTTCATCGACACCCACTGTCACCTGGATATGCTCTACTCCAAGCTGTCGTTCAAGGGGACCTTCACCAAGTTCAGGAAGGTTTACAGCAGCTCCTTCCCCAAGGAATTCCAGGGCTGCATCTCCGACTTCTGTGACCCCCGGACACTCACAGACTGTCTGTGGGAGGAGCTGCTGAAGGAGGATCTGGTCTGGGGGGCCTTCGGCTGCCACCCTCACTTTGCACGCTACTACAGCGAGAGTCAAGAGAGAAATCTGTTGCAAGCCCTGCGGCACCCCAAGGCGGTGGCGTTTGGGGAGATGGGCCTGGATTACTCGTACAAGTGCACCACGCCCGTCCCGGAACAGCACAAGGTAACGGCGGCCGCGGTGGCCGTGAGCGGGGTTTCTCCCTCGGGGCTGGACCTTAACGTTGCTGAAGGTTTCGTCTGCCCGGTTGGGGCTGTGGGAGGCATTTGTCAAACGCTTTGGGCTCCTGCTTTTCAGCCGCGCGCTCGGTGGGTGACGGGTCCCGGGTGACGGGTACCGCGTGACGGCGGACGGCCAGCGAGAAAAGGCGAAAGCTTTTGTTTCCCTTCCTTCTTGGGAAGCAGCAATTGAGTGTGTCTGAGTAAACAGTATTTCCTGATGTTGAAAGTGAACACGCCCACTACCAGATACTGGGAAAATACAAAAAAAGTCGCTAAAGATTTGTTTATTCATGCATACAAGAACTGGGGTACAGCCCAAAGGGGTGTCTGTGTGGGGGGTTTCAGAGGATTCACCAGAGACAGAGTGGGAAACAGCACAGGTAGACTGAGACAGCTGAGGGCAGCAGCAGACGGACAGGAGAGGCCTGCCAGCCCGTGGGCCCCTCCCTGGCTGTGGGGGAACTCGGTGCTGCACTGACTGTGGACAGGGAGGCCCCCCAAATAATATTTTTTTATTTAAAATATAAAGCGCATTTCCCATCCACCAGGGGTCTGAGTGTCACCGTCTTGAGGGCTTTGCTGCCCAGCGTGCTCCTGGCCGAGACGGCCGGCGGTTGCTGCGCTAAAGCGGGCGTAAGCGGGCGTTGCCGGTGTGGGCGGGGCAGGACGCCGTGAGTGTGTCCAGGGCTGTCTTCTGGCTGGGGTCTGGGCCTGCTGCCCGGTCTCCAGGCCGTGGAGCCGGATCCCTGCTGCCCTGGCGCCCTGGGGTCAGAGGAAGCAGGCGTCTTCTAGAGTCAGTGTTTCAAATTTCCTTTGACCAGTGGGAGAAGATTCACAGAGGTCCCAGGCGCTGCACATACCTCGGGGCCAGAGTCCGGCTGGCGTGCAGCCGTGGGCCGGCAGCTGTGCAGTCTGAGGCTCTTCGGGGTGGTATGCTGGCCCGGCGGCCTGTGTGTGCCTGTGGGAGGGTTTGCCTGGGCTGTGTGCGGCAGGCGGGTGGTCTTTACTCGGGGCTGTGCTCACTTTTCTCGCCACGGGTCTGCTGGGAGCGGCGTTTCTCTGCAGAGCTGGGGCTCCGCACCCAGCAGCAGCCTGCTAGCGTTCATTTTCCCCGCGAGGACAGGGGCGCTTGTGATGCTGGCCGAGGCGGCAGCTAAGGCCCTGAGCCCGACTCGGGCAGGCGTCCGGGGACCGACGTTCAGGTCTGCTTTCGCGGCCGCCGGCTGCGGCTCAGGGCGGGCATGGTCCGGAAAGAGGAGCGGCTCAGAGATGCGTTTTCCGAGGCGATGGCAGGTGGAGAGCTGTTTACCGAGTGCCCACTGTTGCCAGCAAACGTGCCAGGTCCTTCCCGGCACCTCTTCCCCGTCCCGGGCGGGCGCCGAGGCCGCCGCAGGCAGACTGAGCCGGAGCGACAGCACCGCTGGTGGAACCTTGACGCGGGACCTGGCGCGAGGACCGGTAGACGGCGGCTGAGGGTGGTGCCCTCAGCGCCCCGCAGTGATGGCGAAGGGCCGCGGCCTGGGTCGGGCCTGCCGCCTGTGGGCAGGGGACGGGACGGAGGGGCAGCGGTGTCGCTTTCCTCTGGGTGGCGGGGCTGCTGGTGATTCCGGACTGGCGGAGCGCCTGGTGACGCGCTCGGCATAGGTGACGCGTTTGGGCTTTTAACAAGAGGAAGTAAATTGCGGGGGGCGGAGGGCGGCGTTGCTTGCAGCTGAGGGAGATGAGGATTATTTCTGTAGAGGACTGGACTGTGAGTCCTGGCGCCAGCCTGACGTTGGGCGCCGAACGGAGAGATGGGCACTGGTCCTGTGCCTTTGGGGTTCAGTGCCCGAGGCAGAGAGCTGGCAGGCCCTTCGCCTGCCCCGCTGAGCGTTCTCTCCTGCCAAGAGAGCAGTTGACCAAGGAGGAGCACGCGTGGCCAAGAGGGGGTGCCGGCCGGCTCGTGTCGGGGAGCTGGTGTCCGTTACCTGGTGTTGCCAGAGCGCTGGGCAGTAGAGAAAAGAAGAATTGGGGGAAATAGGAGCCGGCTGGCGCCAGCATGCTCCTGCTTGTCTGTGTGCTCGTGGCCGGCACCTGTTTAACCTGCCAGGCGGCTCGGGGCCGGCCTGCCGCTGGCGAGATGCCGGGAGTCTGGGGCCGCACAGCGAGGACAGGGAGGACAGGGGTGTCCTGCCGGCGGCGCTGCGGCCTTTGGTGCTTGACTGCAGTCAGTGGCCGGGGTGATGAGTAGGCGAGAGCTGCCCGCCCCCAGGGGAGGCCGACTCGCTGCGCTGCGGAATCCCCGGGAATGAGACTCAGCGGGAGCGGGCTTCTGCAGACGAAGAGAGCAGGCTAGAGAGTAGTTATTAGCCGGGTGACTGATTTGCGCACTTCATTCACTCCTCGTTTCAGCCGGTGCCTGACGAGACAGATGCTCTGAGCTCTCCCCGCGCAGGTCTGCTAATGGTGGTTTCTTCTTCCATCGTAACATTTAAAAACTTTGAGACTTCACAAAGCGTTATGAATGGTGGATGACTTATGAGCACCTGTCACAGAATCAAGGAATGTGTGTTGTATGCAATTTCTTTTAATTAGGAATTTTTTCCCCCTTAAAAACCCATTTTGGAGGTTTTCCCCCCCACTTTTGAGAATGTTCCCGTCTCATTCCTACACTTGGAAAAACACATTTTTTTTCTATTAAACATTTTTATTTTCTTGCATTTTCCTTTTTTTTTTTAAAGATTTTTAAAATCAGTTTCTTTGTTTTCCTCCCCCAGCTTTTACTTATTTATTTTAATATATAAGTTTGTTTTTACATCATTTCGTGCCTTTTCCATCTCAGTCGTCATCCCCGTGGGCTTCCCATCACCGAATCACCATAGTCCAGTGCACTCCCCCCATTTTGATCCCATTCCCCACTCCACCCCCACAGAATGTCTCAGGTATATGGCTGTTCCTCATTATCATTATTTTCTCTCCGTGGAAAAACACACTTTTAACAGCTGTGTACTATTTTGCCCCAAGCTCTCATTGTTTTAAACACCACAGGGAATACTCTAGAAGCAGGAAGTAAGAATTGGATTGGAACCTTATGCTGCGGTCAGGCCCGGAGGGCAGCTGAGCACTTGGCGAGGCCAGCTGGCTCGGTGCCCTGGAGTAGCCCGGTCACGTCAGCGTTGGTTGGGTGGGTGCTGTGGTGAGAAAGCGTTAGACTTGACCGGTGATTCTCCAGCGTCACCCGAGTACAAAGACCGAGATCACCCCCCTTCTGATGTAAGAGTGCACCCCAGGCACGTCCCACAGCTGAAAAGACCGCGTCCTGACCGCGCACCGTGTTTCAGCTAAGTCGGTTGTGGGTGAGGAGCGAACGCCTTGCTTTAACCTGGCCTTGCTAGGGGAGGCGTTCAGGGGTCTGTGTCTTCTGGTGGCGGCAGCTGCAGGCGCCCGGTTGAGGACGCAGTGTCTGTCGCTGTGGGTCTCGTCTGGCTGGGCCCGGGTCGGGGAAGCAAGTTGCAGAGAGCAGCTGTAGTGTTTGCGCTCTCGGCAAACATGAGCTGAGAGCCGGGCACTGTGCTGGGACGGCAGTGAATGAGGAGGCGGGAGCCGCCACGGTGTCCCCAGGGGCCGCTCCCCCACCGCCCTGCGGCTGCCTAGGAAAGGGGGTGGGAGGTGGGTGCCTCTGGCGAGCGGAAGTAGAGACGGGGATAGGGAGGGCAGCTTGTGCCTTGCTCTTGAGGCCCCCGCCCCGAAACTCCAGTCAGCACCGCCTGGTGGTGGCTGTGGGGGGCCTGCAGCCGCCAAGCGCCCTCGCTGTCTGCGCTTGCCTGACGGGCACGGTACCTGCGCGGGTGCTCGCGAGGAGAGGGCTCCGGGCCCCGGCGGCGGGGTAGCCGGTGTCGCAGCTCTGAGGCTGGGGGGCGCCCGTTGGGCTGGTGTCCCCAGGGCTCTGGCGCCGGCTGTGTGCTTCTGTGTGATGTGACTTCTCTTCCAGGTGTTTGAGAGGCAGCTGCAGCTGGCCGTGTCTCTGCGGAAGCCCTTGGTGATCCACTGCCGAGAAGCCGACGAAGACCTGCTGGACATCATGAAGAGACGTGTGCCCTCGGACTACAAGATCCATAGGTTAGGAGGCTGGGCGGCGGGCGGCGGGCGGCGGGCGAGCGCGCCCCAGCCCGGACGCAGCGCACGGCCTGAGGCTGTCCCTGTGTCTCGCGTGAGGATTAGGGGACCCGCCTGCAGCTTCTGCCACGTGACCGTTTTTTACTTGTGAAACGGCAGCTGCGAGTCTTTGGAGTTCCTGCTCTGAGTAATGAAGGAAGTGGGGGGCTCTCAGGGTCTGGTCCTAAGCGTCTGGCCGGCTGTTGATTTGGGGAGAGGCTACCCTGGAGTCCAGTGAACACCCCAGGGCACTTGAAAGAAGATTTTCTTTATTAGAAAGCTCATCTCTGCAGAGCTGGCATCAAGGCGCAGGGTGTGCTTTCTTGGGGTGTCGAGCGTGGGGTGCCTGTCGGGGCGTTGCTCAGCTCAGGAGCAGTCTGGAGGGGCTGTGGGTGACCGAGCCAGCTGGTGACTTCCTGATGAGAGCGTGGCGCTGGCTGGACGTCAGGTGTAGGGGCCCAGGGGGACCCCGAGGCTGGCTGCAAAGCGGTTGGGGTGGAGCCGGGCTGGGGCCCGGGGCGGGGGGTGGCGCAGAGGGTGTGGGGCTGCCAGCCGGCCTCCGGCCTCCACCCTCGCAGCGCCCCGCCCTTGTCTGGGGCTGCGCACTGCAGGTGACGCTCCCCGTTGCTCCTCAGGCTGGTTGGCCCTTTCTTGCTTTGGGGGTAACATTTAAGCAGATCTGCCGGGCGTCAGGTGGACGAGGCAGCCGGACCCTGGGCCCTTCAGGGGGTCAGCCGTGCGCGTGGCACTCAGATCGCAAGCGGGGCCAGGGGGCGGCAGGGAAGTTGGCCTGCAGTCCTGGCGCCTTAGTTTTGGCTTTCTTCCCCGTTGACGCCTGGACGAGGTTGCGGGGGCGGCCCGGCCTCCTCCCGCCTCTGCCGCGGCCGGCTGGCCTTGCCATCGGAGAGGCCCGCTTGCCCGGGCCTTTCCCTCTGAGGCGGCGGCGCATCCCTGGGGGCGGAGCCGGGAGCTAGCTCACGGGAGGGACGCGCCTCCAGGCCTGGCGCGGGCGAGGCCCTGACGAGCGCCCTCTCGCCCAGGCACTGCTTCACTGGCAGCTACCCGGTCATCGCGCCCCTGCTGGAGCACTTCCCCAACATGTCGGTGGGCTTCACGGCCGTCCTGACCTACTCCTCCGCCTGGGAGGCCCGGGAAGCCCTGAGACAGATCCCGCTGGAGAGGATCATTGTGGAGACGGACGCGCCCTACTTCCTGCCTCGACAGGTAGGCGAGTCTTCAGGCGCGCGCAGGCTGGGGCGGGCGGGCGGTGGGTGGTCACCCTGACAGGGATGGCAGGGCCAGAGCCCCAGTGACGGCCAGGCCCCAGCCTCGGCCATGTAGGTGTCTCCTCGTGTGGCTCTGCAGAAGCGAAGGTCTAGGGGGCTGAGAAGCTGAAGGGTAACCACTCTCTTCCAGGCAGTGCAAAGCCCTACCCTGTAGAGGGTAGTCCAAGGAAGCGTGGGACCCTGCTCACCCAGAGCCCCCATGACTAGGACTCTCCCTGCACCTGCAGGTAAAGGGGTCTCTACAGGGCAGCCCCAAAGAGGTCCTTGCTGGGGCAGGGCTGGGTGGGGCGCGCCGTGTGACGGCTGTGCGCAGGAGGCACAGCGATGTCTGATGCTTGGTGTCTTCCAGGTTCCCAGAAGCCTTTGCCAGTACGCCCACCCGGGCCTGGCCCTGCACACCGTTCGCGAGATTGCCAGGGTCAAAGATCTGCCGCTCTCCCGGACCTTGGCCGCCCTGCGCGAGAACACCAGCCGCCTCTACAATCTTTAAGCCGAGGGGGAGCAGGCGGGAGTCTCCAGAAAGGTCAGATGGTTCAGATTTCACCTTTTTAAACGTTAGGGCAAACTGTCTTTCGCTGCCTTTTCTGAATGTAGAGCGTGTCAGCCTAGGGCGAGCGTGAAGTCTGATGTGTCTCAAGTGAACGTGGTCTGGAACCTTCTTCCTTTTTCTTCTTAATCCTCAGGACGCCCGGGGGTCTGTCAAGCACGGGCTGAACTCGGACTGTGCCTGTGTCCGGGTCCAGGATGTGTCTGGAGAGCCCATCGGAACTAGGAAACTGTGCCTTTAGGGCGTCTGCGTCTGACCGGCGGGCAGGGTGCGGGCAGGGCTGAGGCTGGCCGGGCCTGCCTGGGCGGAGGCGGCGGCAGCTGCCAGCGGGCGCGCGGCCGTGGGCCCTTCGCTGCCGTGTGCGGAGCAGCCTGGACACAGTCGCCCTCCTGTGCGCACGCGGCTTGGTTCCGGCTCACAGTTCTAAAAAAGACCTTCCACGTGGGAAGTCTCCCGAGGGACGTTCGCTGGTGTCGTGCCTCTGCGGTTGATCTTACTGCACCCCGAGGTCACCCCCTTCCTTCCTTGGACGACGCTTCGCTGTGCCCCCCGGCGGCGGGACTGCGCTCGGTCGTCCTGCCCCGTGCCGGCGGCCGAGGGGCGGGCGCGCCCCACCCGTGCCGGGAGTCCTGGCGGATGGAGGTTCAGGACTGACGGGGTGTTCAAGGAAGAGGCCCCAAAGACGTTCTCCCACTTCCGATGCCCCCATGGCCACAGCTCCTGGTGATAAGCGGACAGAGGTCTGTGAGCAGCAGAAGCCGCCTGCTTTCGGGGGACCCAGCTGCCCTTTGCTGCATTTTTACCGCTTCTCAACGCTGGAGCAGAAATACTCGTGTTTCGCCCGTCCAGCGGCCCCGGTCGCGAGGCGGCCGGCCCAGTGGTCTGCAGCTCCGGGCCGCCGGGCCTGTGCCGCGAGAGCGTCTGTGTCTCCTGGCCGTGGCCGCCCAGCTCTGCTGGTCTGGGCCTCGCGAAGGCGCCTTCCCTACAGGCCCTGGACTGAGCGGGGCGGGGTCAGCGTGAGCGCCGCGCCCCTTGACCGCCGCAGGGGGACGGACGCCCAGTTCTCGTCCGTTTCTTGGAAGCAGCTGCTTAGACCGCAGAGCCCAGCGCCTCGGCCGGTTGCGGGGTGTGGAGGCCCGTGGCCCCACCCGCTGCTTCCATCCTGCCTCTGGTGCGCCATTGGGTGTTTGCCTTGTGCCTCAAGTTTCCCAGTGTGGGGAGTCGGGGCGCCTGTTCTCCCTGGAAGGGGTGGGG